TAATATCGATATATTTTTATCAAAATTTTATGATATATTCAAACATATATTTTATTCAAAAATAAAAACATCATCGCTTTCTCAAAATCACATAAAGTCATATTATAACATCGACTGAGATAAAGAATAAATGAAATATTAAAATCACGATGTATCTCGCTGTATTGTGCGAGTACGCTTCTAGTCTTATTAAACAAATTTAGCAAAAGTCTTAAAGTCTTAAAATACTAAATGACCAAGATACCCTTTATACTACTCTTACATCACTTTTTCACCCTCTCCTCTCTCACATGCACTCACCCTTCACATACACTCACCCTCTCACAACCGATTTTTTTAAATTATAATTTTAAATTTACAYTTTATACTTCTATAATTAGTTAATTAATTTACTTTACGTACTTTACTTTTAAATGATTCATTTTAGATCTTTATCAAATTAACATACATAATCGTATATCAATTAAAACATGTTTAAAAAATACATTTTTATTTTAACAAGTTACACCATTATAATCGTCTCATTAATACCTTCGAAATGAGTCCAATATTTAATAGTTTTTGACTTAATTATATTGTTATATATTATATATACTGTGAAAAAATATTTTTAATATTTATGATTTATACGTTTATAGTTATTAGGCTGTCCAAATTGCACTGTATAATATGTTCTGAATTAATATGTTCTTGGAATATATATATATATATATATATACATATATTTTTAATATGTTCCAAATTGAAATATATATATATATATATATATGTATTAATTTAACCTTAATTTGAGTTTCTGGACAAGAAAGAGGGTAAACAGTTGAAATTTCATTCTAAAACTCATATTTTTTGGTCTTTTCAAAGCTTATGATCTGTCAAATTTGTAGTTTTCTTTATTGGTTTTGAATATTTATCTTAAAACTCAAGTTTCTTGGTTATTTGCTCTTGGTGTAAATCGAACACATTTGTGGAGTCGTTTAAATATGTTGGATTTAAATATATTGGACTTTAAACTGTCATACAATTTTTTTCATCGATAGTCTGTAATTGGAACCATAACTCTTATTTATTCAAATTGTATTAATATGTAAAGACCAAGTGTAATCTATATAATCGTTAAATCTTATCTTATAAAACCAGTGGAACTTCAAAATCGTTAAAATACATGGCTCCCGCCGCATTGCGCGGGTAGACAACTAGTATATATATATATATATATATATGACAAATCAAATACAAATAATATAAACCAATCAATTAAGACATGATAAAAAATTCATTTATTATTTGAATATATATGAAAAATGATTAGAATTCATTAATTACAATCAACACTTTATATTAGAAAACAATCAACATATTTATGAAACCATATATTCGTTAGATAAGATGGACGGTTAAGGTTCGTTTGTATGGTAACCTTTGCATGGATCGTATTTGACTTGTCCTTTCTCTCTATAAAAAATATTATATATATATAAAAATATATATAAAGTTTCAAATACAAATCATACAAACCTTATAAAATAAAACAATCGAGATATTTATGAAATATAATACAGTTCAGTCATTATGATCATTGTATTAAATTTGTACACAATCGAGATATATATTATAAAACCAAATATTCATTAAGGCAGATGACCGTAAAGGTTGATTTGTGTAGTTTGTGATATTCACATGGTTTATATATATAATATTTTATATATAAATTATACTTCATGTACATAATATTATATATAATATACGGGTTGGGTTCAGATGAAAATAAAATTAAAGTGAGAAACGTAAGAAGAGATTTACATCATTGGATACACATTAGGATGAGATGTACCGGATTAATTCTCGTATCAAGCACGATTCATGGGTGAATTTGAGATTAAAGATAATCAAAGGTCCATGTATATTTGTACCTTCTCACGCAAACTCTACTTCTCACACGATACTTTACCTATAATATAATATATTATATAAATTATCTTTCACATTAAGATGGACATTTTTGTGAAGGAGATTTTGTTAAGGGGTAGGATATGTAAAATTTGGAAAGTTGTTGCACTCTTTTGCAATTACCAACTTTCATCACTTTCAAACTTTCACCCCCTTTTACTTGATTTTGTGAACTTGCCCCCTTTCATGAAAATTTTCATTTTTATTTGTTAGCCTGCGAAAATGACCGGAACGGTGATGAAACCGGTGGGATTCGCCGGCACGGTGGATATGTCCAATCAGCAGACACTATCTCCGTCATACGTCAACTCTTTCCGCATTTCCGCCGTCACTGGCCGATTACTTGTTCATCTTCGGGGTGACGCAAATACGGATAACACAGAGTTCTTCAATCTCTGTCTTTCTCTTGCCAGGTTTGTTTTTTTCGATTCTTTTTCCACTAATAAATTTTTTTTTCTGTAGTCACATCTACTGCAGTGTTTGTTCCATGGTCGCTGTATTTTTTAAGTATGATTTTGGTGAAAGAGCTGTTATTATGTCTGTTTCAAGCCCTAGCTGTTGACAGTTGACTGCAGATTGTGCAGTTGATCTTTGATTTCATATATAGTTGATGAACTGATGAGTAAGATAATAGGACGTTCCCTAACTGGTCCAGAACGAGCTACATTTTGATTTTTGAGTTCAAAATTAGTATAAAGTATGCTACAAGCTTAATGCTACCAAGTAGCAACTGTAAAGTTTAATGTGCTTATCAGTTTTTTTCCCCATAAAGTTTGAGAGCTAGATCATTCAGGTAGTAACTTCAATCCATTCAACTAGGAAAAATCAAACTGTTTTTCAATTCTTGAAATTGTAATAGGGAGAACTCCTAAGTCTCAATGTAAGAAACCTAAAAGAATTCTTTTGGTAAAAGTAATTCATAATTACCTGATAGGTGATCTATCCAGGGAAAAGTGAAGAATTTTTTCCTCTATGCTAACATCATGTGTTGTTTCTTACTATTATTTTTGGTTTCCAATGAGTACTACCTGTAGTGTTTGGGATAGATATAATGAAAAGGGGAACTGAAATCCAAGGAACACATGGCGTGGTAAAACAGACACCAAACGTTGCAAGAGAACTTATAAAACTAGGACCCAATCATGAAATATTATAATTATAATGCATAGCTACTAAACATATTTAGCCCAATATAAAACTCACAAGTGTCGAGAGGATGAAATCTGCAAAGCAAAAAACCCAAAACCTTGAAATTAAAGGCAAGCAATACATGCACGGATCCTGTCAGCATCAACTCAAGGGGTCTTAGTTTTTCTGGTCTTACATATCAGCTTTAGAGAACACAGCAGCTCTGCCTCTAGGAAAGGGAATCCATGGAAGTGTAACATTAAAAAGACTGGTACTCATCAGCCTAACAAGACAATGCATCAGCTACCTGATTTGTTTCTTTGCAAGCATGCTTATTAGAAAGATTACTAGGCACGTTGAAATAATCTGTGAACCATAAACATATACTTGAAGGAGTGCTCCAGTGCATCTTATACTAGTTACCTTCACATGTATGCCATATAAGGCTACAACTTTGATGGGTTTTTCAGATCCTTTAGTGCTTTGTTACTCCTATCAATTTTTTTGATTTCTAGTCCATATTCAACGAATCTCATCTCTTTTGTTTAAATTATCATACTGACTAGATACACATTGATAATTATAGAGGTATTGACTATGCTGTTGCTAACAATGAGATCCCAGGCAGCGCTCCAGATTTACCCTATATGTTAAAGCAGGTTAGTTCTTTCCTCCAATATTAATGGTAAAGCTTTGTTTAAAAAGTTCAATGTTGTTTTACTTCCAATACAATTATGGCTGGAAGTTGGCTGTATGGTATTAATAGTTGCTGGAACCAGCTCTCCTATTTGTAAGAAATGTTCCTTTATTCGTTTATCTTGCTGTTAGCTGTGAGTAACTCCATTTATTTTTCTGACATGGTTCCTTCAATTTATGCTACAAAACACAAAATTCTTATGTCACTACCATGTGCTTAGGTATGTCAGCGGAAAAATGATCTCCAATTACAAGCAGCTATTATGGTGCTGATGATCTCCGTAAAGGTACTGACAAAATACAATTTCCTCCCCTCTGTCACTCCCTGCAGGGTAGGGTTTGCGTGGGATTGTAAGCTGTGCTTGTTTTAAATTGTTCATTTTTGTTCCTGTTGATTCGTAGCTTTGTCAGCTAGCATTTTCTGGTCCTTTTTTAATCCTTTCCCTTGTGTGCTTTGCTTTAACCTTTAAGGTCCCAAGTCTCCAATAGTTATGATAAGCCTGGGAGTGTACACACCTACAGTAGATGTAAGAAGTAGTAGAGCAGGGATGAGTGGACACATGTAATAATAATAAGCCAGAGGCTTGTTTTGTCTTTTTCTTGTTAAATCAGTGGAGTGTTGGTTGAAAGTTTGCTGTTGTCATTGGAAGGGTAGTTAGTTGGTAGGCTATAAATAAAGGCGAGGGGTTGAGTGTTGGGATTTTGGGATTGTAAACACTCGAAGTAGCCTAGGGATAGTCCAGAACTCTTGAACAAGCTGGTGTCCGAAGCGTTTAATAAAAATGGGAGCTATATAGACCTGTAAGCAGTGAATCTTCTTTGATTGTGTGTAAAATAGATTCAGTCTGTAAGTACCAGAGAAAGGAGTTCTTCCCTGAATAGTTTAGACCAAGATAATCAATGGGCATAGGCTTGCAGGCAAACAAATCAACTCGTCTTTTATGAGAACCTCATTCACACCATCTAGACAGGGGAACTCCATCTTAACTCTGGATGCAGTTGACATCTATCCCAGTAGGACACAGTTAAGCATGGGATAGAACTTGCTGCAATATTTGAAATGGTCTGGAGTTTTCGTTCTAAATCATGATTACCTGAAATGTTAAGAGATCATTTTTTCTTAAATGCTTCCAATAATTTCCTTAGTAAAGAAAAAGTGAAGTAGTGAAAATGGCACACGTCCTCGTTTTCCATAGGATAGCTACTTTTTAGGCTCGTCTCAGTCGTCTGCAACCTTCCTTTTTTGTCCTGGTTTGTGTCGGTTAAGTACAGAGGGGGACTTAGATATGTTAAATGAAATCTTGAAAATCTTTTCTCGTGCTTCTCTTAATTACCTTCTTGAAAAAGATCAACTTTATTTAATCTTTCCCTTCTGTTGGCTGTTCTATATACTTATGCTAATTCTTCTTCTGTAAAATCTGGTGCATGTTCTTCCACTTCCTCTTTATATTAGTGATCTTGTTTCCTTTTTTCTCTTCTGATAGAGTGCATGCAGTAACGGGTGGTTCAGTGAGAAGGAGAAGGAAGAACTTCATGTTCTTTCAGATGAGGTTTGTGAACGGCTTTAGCACCCGTTCTCTTTCATCTTTCTAGCAAATGTTCTTACAATAGTTTCTCTCTGCAAATTGCAGATGCAAAGCAGTTTCTGCAGCGTGAGTGTTAAGGATATGCATTCTAATATGAAGAACAAAGGGAGCAACTTCCATACCACAATCTCCACGGTTATGACAAGGTGTTTGTGATGCCTTGCGTAGTGCTTTCTGCATGTTTCTTCCCATGTTTCCATATCATGAATCTATGATAATCATAATAAAGTTTCTTTAACTATAAGATCCCGTGACATTAGATATTCATATGTCCAGGATTGTAGATGGTTGACAAAAGGGCCAGTACACTATATTGTTGCTTTGAGAACTGAATGTTACTGAATAATGAACAAAGTAATAAATAGTGGGCAATTTATCTCCATAAGCAAGTGTTGGACTGAAAGGAGGTTACTCTTTCATAAAAACGAAGATTTAAACTAAGCAATCTTGATGGACCCATCAGTCGTAAATATTATTACAATTCCATCGAGGACGAGTCATGTTCATCATGACTTGCCTTTTTTTTTTATCTTTCTAGAAACCTTAGATGGTTCTCCACATTAGATGATCAATCCTTGTAGGTACCTTGCGTGTTACATGAAAATGTCTCATGTGTGTTATACGAGGGTTTACTCTTACAGATCTAATGACTAAATGATCGGGTAGTGTTGTACTTCATGTTCTACATAGGATATATGCTTATAGGGTCATGTACCATATCTGTATTTTTGTGGTTTCTTAGCTGTGGACAACTGTATGATGGGAAGAAAATTTCACAATTTTTGACTTCAGGTTCTATCCAGGAATGAAGATGGGCGAAATACTTGCTCTTGTTGAGACCACGGTATAATGTTCAAAAAATTTCATTTTTAAATTTATTAATAAACTCTTTGATCTAATTATCTACTGTTTTTATCATAGCCGGGTTATGATTCATATGTGACCGATCTGCATATCTCAAAGAGTGCAAAATCTTCTCCTGATGACAAGATAGTAAGCATTTCTTGTCATGTTGCTCTACAGCTCTACTATCATATTGAATTATGTTTCTCATGTGGTTTGATTACTGGTTAAAATATTAGATTTTATCATGCACCATCACAAATTATAATTACGAGGTGGTAGTGCTTTACTACTGACCCACTTGACACTAAGTTGAAGTTCACTCCTTTTTAAATTTTTAAATTTGTTTTTTAATTCTTCATCATGATTATGTTCCACTTCCTTTTCTCGTTTCATATTTAACTTCCATGCAGTATTTATTTGTTGCTCAAACAGATAATACAGAGACGTCATCATGCATCATAAATCCCCAGCAAGTCAAGTATGCATTTAGTTTACTACCTCAACACTTCTTTCACCAAAGTGCATATGCATTCAAAGTAACCTAACCTGTTATTCGCTTGTCTTTTATTTTGTAGTATTTTGTTGAACGGAGAAGGAGTAGATAGGAGGACTTGTGTTTACAAGGTTTGACAGCCTGGTCAATGACTTGCACTATAGTGTGGTCTTGTGAACACTAACATGTTTCTGGCTTTTGAAAATTCACCATCAGGATCCTGGACCGCAGATTCCGACACTTGTAACACATATGCTTAAATATGGAAGCAATCTTCTTCAAGTAGTGGGCCAGTTTAGTGGTAATACACTTAACATTATTCCTCGATCCTGACATAAATTACATGCTTGACTTAACCATTTCAAATTTTTTATGATTCCATTTAGAGAGATATATTATAGTAATTGCTTTCATGAGCGTGGTTTCAAATCCCAGCTGTCCTACGATTCCAGATTATATTCCACCAGCTGCTGCTCTACCTGATTCAGGTATATCCATGTAATGTATGAAACATAGCAAAGATGGAAGGCATTAAACACATGTATCTGTGGGTTTTTGTTTTTTCCATTTGTATGTCTAGATGTCAAGTTGATGAACTTATCCTTTTTGTGTTTTATTTTTGTTTCTAATGATAGATAACGAGATAGTTGAAGGGCCATCTAGAATATCACTAAAGTGCCCCATAAGGTATATGCCATTCTTGTTTCTTGTACTGATATTTCTCTGAAGTTAGAAGAAACTTGTTATAGGATACATGTGGTTCAAGTACTGTATTAATCAAACCAAGCACTTTTTGATCATGAAATTTTTGTATTTGACTCGTGGTTCTTATTTTTACTCAGTTTTAGTCGTATCAAGATCCCTGTTAAAGGACATTCATGCAAACATCTTCAGGTGAGTATTCCATGCTGCATCACTTGTCAAAACAATGTTCTTGAGAGTGAAGGGAAATGAAGAAAGAGAAGGAAAGAAAATAAATTTTCATGTTTTTGAGTGGGAGAGAAAGGAAAGGAAAGATGTCATTTGTACAAATATACCCTTATTTATTTTATAGTGGAATGTAATCGATGGGTATATGTGTAATTATATAAATATTTTTAATTTTTATAAATTCCTTCCTTTCCTTTCTTTTCCTCCCATATTTGGGAGGAAAATCAACATTATTTTCCTTCCCTTTTCCTCAAAAAAACTCGAGTACGCAAGATTTTTTCTTTCCCTCTTACTTTCCCTTCCTTTCCTTCGTAAAAAGGACTCGAGAAACAGCATCACGGCTAACATGACAACAGTAATTGGGAAAGGGCTATAATCATGTAATGTAGTAAGGAGTGATTTACACTTTTATTCCTTCCCCTCTCTTCTCCCTTGCCAGTGCTTTGATTTCAACAATTATGTGGGCATGAACTCGAGAAGACCACTGTGGCGCTGTCCTCATTGTAGTCAGTCTGTCTGCTTCACTGACATCCGAATTGATCAGAGTATGGTCAAGGCAAGTAAAGATCCATAAATTTCCATTTATTGAATATTCGTATTTTTTCTATCTTTAAGCAATTGATCTGTTATTAGGTTCTGAAAGAGGTAGGCGAAGATGTTTCTTATGTGAAAATCTCTTCCGATGGCTCATGGGAAGCTGTCACTGAAAGTAACGAGCATACAATAAAACCAAATGATGCACAACCTTTGCACCAAGAAACGACTATCCAAAGTGTGGATGACATTATGGACCTTACTGAAGGTGATAATGAAGCGGATACATGTGATAGAGATGAAGACAAAAAGCCGTCTCCAGCTGAGTTTCACGGTGAATCTAGTATCTTGAATTCAACTCCCGTATCTATGCACATAAACAATGTCCATGGAAATATTGCACCACATATGGAAGACGGGTTTTGGAGAGAATTTTATTCATCAACACTTGGAACAAGGACAACTAATACGAGATCAGATGTCAACGAGGTGCGGTCTGTAAGAGATGCTTTTGCTTCTCTTGACAGAGAAATCGAGGACCTTCAAAGGAACAACCTCATTTTCAACTCTTTGACCCCGGGTCAAACAGCTGCATCCAACAGTATGGGGTTACAACAATATGAAAACTCGAATAATACCGGTAATGGGTATGTGAGGTACCCAACACCAGCCAACTATGTAACAAGAACAGCGATCGCTATTCAGGCACTTCCAGCTCAGTCTTCTGCAAGGATTCTTGAAGGGGACAGACAGCAACACCAACAACAGTTTGTAAGATCTCATCTAAATCAGCATCAAGTGTCGCTTATGACCTCCGCTCCATCACCACAGCACATGGGTTCTCAGGTGAGAGTAATCTATTACTCCTTCCATCCCAAATAAATCCAATGTTTAACAAGGCACATAGTTTAACCATAAATATATTGAGAACCTGATAGCCAACCATTTTCTGTTTTATTCATGAGTAACCCTAAATAATCATGAATATCATGCATTTTCACTATTCATGATATCATTCATCATGGATATCATGCATTTTTATCATGAATATCTATCACGACATTCATCACGAATGAAACATGAATAGTTGGTTCCCATGTTCTCAAAAATGTTTTACTGTTCTCATTTGAACCTGCCCTTGTTTAATTATTAGTCAAATATCTATATTATTCCTAAATAATGACAAAATAAGTTAGTGTTGTGGACCAAAAATGATGAGATCATGTTTTTGTAATCTGTAAAATGGTAATCTGCAATAAATTTTTGCCAAAAAGGAATTGTTGCATTTATTTTTATTGCATTTATTTTGGTACGGATGGAAAATTACCTTGATTGGCTTTTTCTCATTGATATTGTTATGCAATATCCCACACAATAACTTTTCTGGATTCATAATTCACTAACGGGCTGTTTGGGTGGTTTTCCATCAAGTCCTGAATGGATAAAGCTATCTGTGGATTAATCTGTATGTATAGATTGGGAAGATTTTTGTTTGGGAGGGTTTTTTCATAGATAGAAAAAGCTCGTTTTTCAATTGGGAGGGACAAATTTGGAAAAGACTTAACTTTCTGCATAAAGCTCCCCCTGGAAGCTTACTGAATACGCCACTTTCTATAATATTAAGCCACTACCAAACAATCATGTATAACTGACCGAATAAGCCATGAGTCGCATTAAGCTCGTTAAGTTGCAACAAACAGGCCCTAACTTGACTTGTATAGTCATTATTCCACTAGTATGTAAAATTTCCACAAATTATATATATGCTACATAGTTGGAAGTTTCTAGTTCTACCTTTTGTTTTCTCATTACATTGTTTTTAATTGTAGAATCAGGGTCATCGTGATCACTCGCATCTTTTAAGTCAAACATCCCCACAACTTGGTGGTCGTTCGGCTTCACCTCAACGCTTGAGTGGTGGCCGACATACTTCACCTCTTCCAACAGATCGCTTCAACTCACACCAACAGCAATCTATGAACCAAAGGACTCCACTTCCGGTGCGACCATCTTCTCAACCATCTCCTCAAGTTCGGCTAATAGGTGCACATGGTGGTGGGAATCCCATGACTAGTCCTGCAAGTAACCAACCCCAGTATTCATTGGCTTCTATTCAAAGAGCTACTAACCAGTTTTTGAGCCGCACACCACCTACTCCATCTCCAATCCAGACTTCTGGATCATCCGTGCCAGTGACATCAATGGGAGAGCAAAGAGGTATAATTTAATGTACTTCATAACTGTGAACATTGATGGAATGTTCAACTATTGTCTAGAATTTTGCTCAAAAATGATATTATAGATGGAGAAAGTTCAAATGAGAACCGTAAATATTTGGAGAACCTAGGAACCAACTATGAATAATTTTCATCATGAAATTCATTATGAATAAAGATAATAGTTGGTTCCCAAGTTCTCAAAATATTTATAGTTCTCATGTGAACTTTCCCCTATTATAAATTAAAATAAATACCAACTATTCCATAGATGGAGAAAGTTCAAATGCGAATCTAGGAACCACTGTTTCATGCATTATTCACGATGAGTAATCATGCATTTTTATCATGTATATTCATTATGAATAATTTTTTCATCATAAGAATTATGAATGAAGATGAATAGTTGGTTCCTAGGTTCTCAAAATATTTACGGTTCTCATTTGAACCAGCCCCCCGTCATAGATTAAAATCAATACTACCAAATTTATGTAACGGAAGGGCAAAGAAAGCATGTGAGATTGAGAAAATTACCAAAAAGAAGAAGATAATAAGTGAGGGATAACATCCAGGGAATTCGGTAGATGCATCAGGAGAGCAAAACTGGAGGCCAAGTGGACGGATGCGAGGAAGTTTATCAGGACGAGCATACACAGAAGCTCTAAATCAGTTCATAATTCATCCAAACCAACCGGTTCAAGCAGCTAGACCACCGGTTCTAAACACTCCCAGACCCTTCATACCACCCCATCTACAAGTCTTGATGGCAAATAACTTAAAAGCTTCTCAAACTCCTGGTGGATCTAGAGGTCCAGATGGAAGTGGTGGTGCTGGATAAATAAAATGAAATGAAGTATTGGATGTATAGAAGAAGAAGAAGAAGCAGATGATGCTGAATCTGGTATTATTGTTGTTGTCAAAGTATTCTGTTAGCAAATTCCATCCAAGTATATATATTTTACGATCATGAATGCTTTTCCTTCTTTTTAAAACAATTAATCTGACTTATTTTTGGTGTATTTGTGGAGAGATGAAAAAAACATGGTCTTAGTTTGGTTTTGTCTTTGATTGATTACCTTTCCGGAAAAATACAAGCCAAAGTGTGGGGATGTTTGGTTGGTTTTTATTAAGTTCTGTTTGATTAAGTTGTTTGTATAATTTGAGATAAGTTATTGTTGTTGTTGTGTTGAATAAACAAACTGAATGTTAGAAGTAACTATTTTGTGTTTTGGCCAAGATTAAATACGGAATGGAGATAACTTAATTGTATCTATTTATGTTATTGATGGATGGAGCTTCGTTTGACCAACATCATATCAACACATGAGGCATGCTGTGATGCACTTCATAAAATAACGAAAAAACAGTGTGATACACCTGGTTAAGAAAACATTACCTGATATATTGTTTACACTTCGTAAAACAACAAAAATATATTGTGATACACTTCGTATAACGACAAAAATACACTGTGATACACACTATGATATCAGATCTGGTTGATTAATACAACTGTGATACACAGAGATTTAAAGAACATAAGAGGCTTGAAGCTTTTTAAACAAATCAAAAATGTCTTAAGAATGGCTCGGGTGGGGGCTGAATAAAGAAGACGAATAGGATTTAATTTATGCACGTAATTGATGATATGGTGGATGAACTTCCATAATTTTTTTGATTAATAAAGAAACAGTATCAATCTCTTTGATTGATAACCATTAAGAAAAACTAGAAACGTACTAACGCAATGCAGCGAGATACATCGTGATTTTAATATTTTATCTTATTATTTACCTCAGTCGATGTTATAATATGACTTTATATGATTTTGAGAAAACGATGATGTTTTTATTTTTGAATAAAATATATGTTTGAAGATATCATAAAAAATTGACAAAAAATATCGATATTAGTATCAAATTAACTATTTGAAATTCCTCATTTTTTTGTGTAATTTTTTAATTTAGTTTTTTTATAATTTAATTTATGTACAATAACAAAATAATTTATATTTGATTTAATAATATAATTTTTTTATAAAGATAATAATTATTTATTTTGTTGGAACTCGATAATTATTC